AAAAATATGGTTCTGTATTATAAATGAAAAAAATGTTTTAATGCAAATACTCTTGGTAATGTGCTGGAATAATAAATTGCTGTATAATAAACTAAAGGTTCAGGTTACTATGAAGTTGAAATGCTGGCAAAAAACATTAACAATTAATTATTCACTAAAAAATACTGTTAAGAATGTTGAGAGGAGTATTCCAATTGCAGGCTTATTGAAGCATCAAAAGTTCTGCGGGCCAAAATGCAACTTTTCAACAATATGAAATATTTTTATCCGCTAGAAGAAAATTATTCCCATATTCACGTGTTCCATCTGCACCATTAAACATCATTCTGTGTAGTACGTATCGGGGTTATGGAGTAATGTGCTATGATGGTTTTGTGTGGTATTACAGTACTATGGTGATATGGTTGTGTGGTACTGTAGTATGAAAGTATGACTGTGGTTGAGGTAAAGCTTCTTAGATCGAATTTTAAACTAGCACGATTTTTTAGTTGAGCTATTACATTACGTATGCTGATTTATTATTTACGTGTCAACTTTTTTGAAATTGTTATTATTAGCTATCATTTTTGTGAAATTTTTTTTAGAAATATATCATCTGGTGTATTTTGTATCTTTTTATTCGAACACTCCCAAACAAAATTTTTGTTTCAATTGGAGGAGTTTTGAAAATAGATCAAAGATACGGAATATGGTCGTTGTAGCTGTTATTTATATGACTGTTACAATGTGTTAGCAGTACTATTATTAGTTGTTGTATGCTGCAAACTCTGGAGAACAAAATTATTACTTCACTTCAAAACTGTTGCATCAGAGACCAACCTCCACTCCATAACACGAACGAGCACGGTCTTAAGAGAAGTTTTGAATGTTAAAAATGAGAAAAATATCACACGAACGAGCGGCCAGCATTTCATCTCGACTCCTATTTCAGGCTGTATTTTTAATTAACACAAGATAGCAACCAGAACAAACTGTGAGCTTGAAGGAAAAAAATGAATGAACGAACGAATGAACGAACGAACGAACGAATGAATGAATGAATAAATGAATGAACGAACGAATGAATGAATGAACGAATGAAGGCAGCTAAGTTACGTGTTATACCGGAAACATCGAATCCATGGAGGCAGTTATTACTACTCTAATATTTTGTGATACTGCAACTAATAAGGAGGAATTTTTAATGTTTTTTTTTTCATTTTAATTATGTCTATTTGTTGCTATTCGTGTAGACTTAAATAATTTCGATTTTTTTAAAACTTTTCTTACAATTATTCTAAGTATTCTATTTTATTCCAAATATTAAAATTGTGTTTTTTTAATAAATTTAAAAAAAAACAAGCATGAAATGGACACAAATATTCAGCCAACGTGACAAAATATTCACAAATGAGTATTTGAATGTTTTTAAAATTTTGAAAAATTTTAAAATCTATTAAAAATTCAACTCTGAAAGGTATGTTATTTTATTTAGAAAGCTTTTACTTTCGGTGAAAAAAATTAATACCAAACATGACACGTCAAACTTTTTATTAAATAAAAAATTTGAACGTAATCCTGACTTACAGGAAATGCCCAATCCCATTCATCAGACCTTCAACTTATCAAAAGTTAAATTGAATGTAAAAAAAAAAAATCCCAAGTTTCCACGTCAATGAAAGTTTCAAAAATGCTGCTTGCCATTGTTCAAACAAGTTTAAGAAGAATTGAGCGTCAAGCTACTCAATTATATTATTGTAAATATGTAAGTGTGTGTGTGCGGCGTGTGTGTGTGTGTGTCTTCGCATACTCTCATGTTGAGAGTTACTGCTTGATTTACTCCAGACACTAGCTCTAGCTTATTAAGTTAAGATTACATATCTTTGGGAAAGGTTTTGAAATCTTTAAATTATTTGTCGCGATTATTCTTTTTTAAAAAAGTGCTTGGGCGTATCATGTTTCCAATATGCCCGATTCGGGGAGTTATTCCTCAGTCAATGTATAATATGCGTGTCTTTTTCAATCAATGATGTGTGTGTGTGTGAGTGTGTGTGTTTGTGCAGTTGTGTTGCTATGAGTTGATGGTGTAATGTATAATGTAGCGTACAGTTGTAATGTGTTGTTAAGTTTGTGTGCTGTTTATTCGAGACCTCGATTGATGATTTTATTTTATATATTCACGACATAAATATAAACAACGTAAAATTCGAACTTAAACTACTCCTTCAACCAATCCAAAATTAAAAACATTTTTGATGATTATAAGCGTTAATGTTTACAAAAGTAATTTATGAATTCTATTGAAGAATATGTTTTCATTTTTTTTTTACATCGACCACCTATCCGTGTTAATGTACTTTTTTACCTACCTCAAATTTATACAACAGCTGTATGGCGTATGTATGTTTTTGTATTATGACGTATGTATGTATGTATGTTGCATGACGTATGTGTGTATGTATGCTGTGTATGCCGTACGTAAGTTTGATTAATGTTATTGAATTTGTGGAAACACTTGCAAGTCACTTGATGCTTGGTCAAAGTGCTTGTGTGAAATTTTGTACGTGGGTCTGTAAATGTGAATTTTTTGTCTACGTGTGATTTTTTTTCATGCGTGCAAGTAGGCGAATAAATGATAACAAAAGATGGATCAAATTTTATGTTATCTCAGCTTGCCTGGCTTGGACGACATAAACAACAACAACATAAACAACATAAACAACATAAATTAAAACATCCAGTCGCAAACCGGAAGGAAACAACATACACTCACATGCAAGGATAATTGTATAAGCTTGCACACATAAAGGCACACAAAACAAATAAAAATAGGCAAGACACACACAGACAAACAGACAGACACACACATACACACACAGACAAACAGACAGACAAACACACACGCGCAGACAGAGCACATGCTGAGGCTTTCCATGCCGAGGTGTGTACATCATTTGCCGACAAACAAACATTTAGCTGCTTAGAGAATAAATTACATGTCCTTCGTGGACTGTTTAGTCTCAAGCATATATAAATATGCATAATATAACACTAATCTTCTGCGTATATGTGTGCGTGCATGTGTGTGTGCGTGCATGTGTGTGTGGTGTGTGTGTGCGTGACTATAAAAAACACTTTTATTAAAAATAATATTACCTTCGTTGGTGTAGTTCTTCTAACACCGCCACCCTATGGCATTTAAAATAATTTTCAACAGTTTGCAATGTCACTCACTCATTTTTATAATAATCAACGGTCTGGCTGGTTGGCTGGCTGGCTGGCTGGCTGACTGTCTGTCTGTTTTTCTGTCTGTCTGGGAGAGCAGATGATGAATTAACAATGAGATGGACAAAGTTAATGAAAAAGTTCTCCGCAATTATGACCGAATAAGAATTCAATCAATCAATTGAAAGACTTCATAAAAGTAATTTGTCTATTACATTTCAAAACTATTTAAAAATGCGTTTTGTAAAAAAAATAATTTGTACCAGACGAATATTATTGAATAATTATCTAGATGAATTTTCAGTCGATTCGCTGTTTTTACATTTTTCAAGCTTTCCCCTCTTACTTTCTCTCTTCCCCTCTCTCTCCTTCTCTCTATGTGTTTGCGTGTGTGCGAGCATGTTTGCACGCGCGTGTGATCAAGTTTGTACAGCGAGAAGCAAATGAAATAAACTGGCCGGCAAAAATAATATTAACTCTCGCAAAGATGACATTAACTCTTGCCAAAAATGACATTAACTCTTCGTCAGAGGGTCATGGAAACATCTGTTACATGTAACGTCGACATACTTCCATGTTCTTCTGCAGTTGAAAATAAAACTAACTTTCCTCTTATTTATCACATTCATGATTCTCCATTCTTATATATTGTATCCACTTATTGGCAAGTTCAACTGTTTTCTTGCAATGGAGTGCACTGCACCACATGCATGTGTTCACATGGACCGATGATGCGTGTGTGTGAAATGTACATTAGTTGTTTGAGAATGTATAGAAATAAAAACTTATATATATATATATATATATATATATATATATATATATATATATATATATATATTATATATATATAATTAATTTCGAAGCCTTCTCAATAATGTTAATTTTTCCTATCTGCCATCCAACACTGATTAAACGAACATGCCTTCAGACGGTTCATGAGTTAACAAATTAATTAAGAATGAGCAATCACCGCTGCAGAATCAAAAGTTTGAAAGTTTTCCATCTATAATATGCAAAAGACCAAGACCAACCATAATAATATAAACCGTAGAATCTTGACTCATAGGTATGGGTAGAAAACATTACATTTTTCGTTAGCTATATTTTTTCACCCAGCCAGGAAACACTGTGTCAGCCAGACTTGAATGCTTGATAACTTTAAGAAAACATTATTTCTTGTTTCCTTCTCCATTCACTCATATACCATTCATCGTATTATCTGATGTCATCATAACGCAAACATCTTGAAAATAAACATCGAAATTTAACAAATTGAACGATCTATCTTAGCCCAGTCGTCAGATTTGTGGGTAAAGTTGGCTACTTACCCTAAATAAGAGTAAAATAACGAAATGTCAAAATGTAATCGTCAATGGTTTGATTAAGTGTTATAGTTCAATTCCTACGTTGAAAAATTTTAAATTTTCACGATTTGTCTTCTTGTGTTTAAAAGTGAAAGGTATACAAAAAAAACTATTTTTACCTTGACAACGTTCTTAGCAACCGCTTTAAAATGGTTTGTGTTTATAATTTTATTTAAATTTGTTTCGAATTTTTTTAACTTATAATGATATCTACACTTTAGGGCGGCTTGATTGTCTAATAGTTAAGGTCGCCTATTGCTGTTTCGCAGTAACCGGGTTTGAACATGACAAAAGATGCCCGCCTATCACATGCTTCGTGTGTGTGATGCGTCGTTTAGCACGTATTCATTTACAATGTTTGTGCGCTTTGTAGAATTCTCTGAACTTTGGAAGAGTGTAATTGATCTTTAACCTTTAATCAATTTTTAGGCTTCGCTTGGAATAAACGAACACCATGAAAATATTATAATAAATTACTTGCGGTTTTCAAAGTATCAAAAAGGACTGAGGTTGAAATCAGTTGATGCCAGTTTCTCTGATATGGAATCAAGCAGGTTTTTGCTTTTTGAAAAACAACATTTTGAATGAAATTTTAGGTGAAAATAATTTTTGCCATTTTTAACTTGATAAGCACAGAGTTAAGAAGATGCTTCACTACCTAAACATACTAATCAAAATTATAATATAATATAATATTATTTAATATAAGAAGATTTAAAAAGGCATTATATGACACTGCCTTGAGGTACTTGATTATTGCTATTCTATAACACTGCCAGAGGTACTAGAAAATCTTTATTTGTATTTTTTACTTAACAGAACCAATCTGTCCAATTTCAATTGAATCACTCTCTAACCAATTGAATCATTTCATTAACTCAGCTTATTAGGAGCCCTGAATTTACAACAATGATTTTAATTCAATTTGTTATGAACAGTTTTTGTTTATTTGATATCTTGCTCAGCTCACAAAAAAGTTTTTCTACACCTAATTTGATTTGTGAATAAAATATATTTTTCTAAAAAAAATATGATCTACTTTGGGATATTAATTGTAATAACTAATAGACATAAATGCTCATTGCCTGCTTGATATGAACCAACAGACTGCAAGAGGACACTTACACCATTGATGAGGTGAAGGAGATCATTGAATGTCTCAACACGTTAGTGAGGGCAGATGTGGAAACAGAACTGATCCACACATCACACACTGTTGTCCTCATGTTGGTCCAACTCTTCCAACAAGCTGAAAAGTGGCACCTGAAACTGCAGCCAGACATTTCTGAACTTGAAAACAGGCAATGTTTTTTTTCTCCAATTTCAACTGGATTTATTAAATTTATTTATTTGCGAATTATTTTAGTGGAAAAATAATGCGAAACTAATAAACATTCATTTATGAATATAGGATTTATTTTTTATTATATTTTATATAATAATCTGAAAATGATTAGTTATTTATTCTTCCATTTATTGATATCAGAGATTTGTTGGAAAAGATAAAACAATTTGAAGAGAAAACAAGTCGAGGAGATGGTGAACCAAAACCTGCTGCTCGACTTGAACCTATGAACGAGTCTGGAACATCTGCTTTGCTGAAAATGGTGCTGACAGGATTATTAACATAGAAAAAATATTAAAATAATTTATTGTTTAAATATTTGAATACTTTTAATAAACGCCTTATCAAAATTCTTATTCGATTGAAAAATTTTATAATAAAATTAATTTTAAAAATTTTTCTACAGCTACTAAAAATAATTAATCTATATTTTGAATGAAATGAATTGTTTGATTCGCCAGGAAATTGAGAAATTGAATGAACTGAATTCAAAACTGAAAGAGAAGTTGAAGTTCATGGAAGACCAGGTGATCAACATAATTTATCAATATATTATAACAACATAACGTTATAATATTATATATGGTGTTTGTTCCAATTTCATTGTTTAACAATTCTTTTGAATTTGAGTGTGTTGATAAATTTTATTGCACGTATATTCAAGTCTAGTTTTCGTTTATTTTATTTCATTTGGTAACGTTTTGAAATAAGCAAATTAGTTGGCGTGTACAGACGTTTTGTTGGGTGGAACATTCAGTTGTATAAATTTGCAGGCCATCCAATCTAAGAAGGATAACTCCCAATTGAAATCTGATCTCGAAGATGCAATCCACGCAATGATTGCCAAAAAAGATGTTATTATTATTATTATTATTGCTGTTAATTTCGCTTCAACAAATTTCTTAATAAATTTTCTTCAATGACATTTTAAAGCGTGTTTCAGCATATTTAGTTTTTATTATCCGAGTGTTTGCTGTCAGTACTTGCATGTTCCAAAATGATGATTGTGTTTTTGCTGATACCTTCTCTTCTCATTCGACATTGCGGACTTTAAACATTCTGCGTACTTTTTATTGAATTAGGAATAATAAATACAACGCAAGTTTGTTTAAAACTTTACAAGTGTCATACGATTTTATATGGATCACTAACTAATTCATAATTTGATGTTTGCATAAGTAACAATTAATGATCAGTGTATTATGAACTAAGAAGCATTGATAATGTATTTAATTTGTGTTTAATATATAATTAGTTCAAAAATATGGACAACCTTCTGACGATAAAAGTTAGATCAATTTGTTAAACAACAGAACGATCTTGATTCTGAAGAGATAGAAAGGCTGAAACGACAGCTGGCCGGTTTGCAATCTGACATGATAAATGTAATTAATTCTTCTTTTAGAATAATTTTTTTCATTTAAAAATGTGTCCATTTGCATTTGGTACGTTTATGGAAACGAAGAAGAACAAAACTCGCTCCATTTCAATCGTTTGATTCGATTTACTTACAAGTGTAACACGTTGAATGGAATAAATAGAAATTCAAAGTTTTCAAGCTTTTGTTCAAAAGTTTCGCGACATATTTTACAACTACCAGCTATCATTTACTGAGTAAATATGTTGTATTAAACCGATATTTTTTGTAAGTTAACTTGGGCGTGCCATATCTTGCGAGATATCAAAATATCGCATTCGAGATATCATATCTCGTATTCGAGATATTATATCTCGCATTCGAGATATCATATCTCTCATTGTCACTGCCCTGGTTAGAAAATCAAAATCCACCATTCAACTTTTGAGTATAATTTTGTGTTTTCGCGTGCATACAAATGTACGTTGTTTTGTGGTGCGGTTGTATGTGCGTGCAGCCTTTTGTGGCACAAAAGTTTTATTGTAGCTAATTAAGAATAGATGAAATACGTAAGTAGTTCCGCACTTGTCACAAATAAAGAGCAAAAAAATATATATACAAGCAAAATGGAAACTCATTTTAACGAATTTTTTGTGAAATTCACTCAACTTGTTGTTCAGAAATCGCAGATGACGAGCAATCAAGTCAGTGAGATGCAGTCTGATCTCGCAAAAACAAAACACCAACTTCTTGAAGTCAATGAAATGCTCGAAATGGCTGAAAAGGTTTGTTCGATATTAAAGTTTATATTCTCTGTGTATTAATGATTTTGATTTTCACATCATTGTTATTATTATTATTATTACTACTACTGCTACTACTACTACTACTGCTACTACTACTACTACTGCTACTATTACTACTACTGCTACTATTACTACTACTGCTACTATTACTACTGCTGCTGCTACTACTACTACTACTCCTAATGCTATTAGCTGTCATTTTATAATGCTTAGAATTAGGGGTCTCAGTTTACAAACCCGCTAACAGGCATTTTTGTAAAAATATTTTAGGAACTGGAGAAAAAAGTCAGTCAAACGACTCCGTTCAAAAATTTGAAAACCATGGTACAAAAGAAGAACGAACAAATCAAGGAGTTGAGGAAAAAGTTATCAAAGTATATTACGGTTGATTTTTTTTTCAACTTTTTCATCAAAATATTATCGAAACGAACAAACCTCGTCAGTTAAATTAAATGAAAATACCAATTCCAATGAAAAATTTATTGCCATAGTTTTTGATTGATTGATTTTTCTGAAGTTTTGAAACTGCTCAGTTTTCGTATTTGTTCATCATACATTCATTTGTTCATTTTTTCATTCACTCATTCATCCACTTATATAATGTTTTCATTCAAATTTTTTTCAAAATTCGTTTAACAAAGTTGTTCGTTTTATTTCTTCTACAGATATGAAGATGTCGAGGGCTAAACGTTTGCATTTCAAAATTTCTTTCTTTCCTATCAACATAATTTTGTTTTTTATCATTAAACAATGTCTAATGAATAATTTTTAAACTTCATTTTTATTAAACTCGATGAACTTTAATAATGTATCTAACAATATTTTCATTTTGCGATGAAATATTTCGCTGTTGTAAGGGTTTAGGCGTTGTTTTTGTCGTTGCAATTCGTTTGTTTTGTTAGATTATACAGTTGTTGAAACTGTGGTGCAGTTTTACTTTATTTTAAAGTTTTTTTTATCGTTATCACTTCCTGCTGGCGAAATTTAAGCATTTTCTATTTTTTCTACGAATTGCATTTTATTTTATCAAGAAAATTTAATAAAGTTTTGATTTCAGATAGAGCTTATTATGATAAACGTTGGTAACCAGGAGTTTGAGGTCGATTTACAACCACGCACGGAAAATAAGATGGCATATGGCATATATGGTATGACTGAGCTGTTTTCGCTTTCCACCTAAGTGAGTGAATGCTACGCTAAGTGCGTGTTGCAGGTCGCAATGTGTTACAAAATAAGTTTCAAAATGATTTTTCATTATTATTTATATTCATGACATCAACAACTTCATAAAAACCATTATACAGTTACTAGTCAAAAGATTTAATGAATATAATTTATTGTTTTTTTAATATAACTTAAAACAAACAAATCCATTATATCTGTCAAAACTAAATTCATTTCTCAAGCTATTCAATGTACAAAACGTTTCGGTTAAAAATATTTAATAAGGCATTTCCTAATTTTGGTTAAAAATTTTGAGAAGGCTTTTACTTAATTTTAACTTTGGCTTAAATTCTTCTCGTATTTCTCTATAATTGTTTTTTCTAAAGTGCAGACGATTTTTGTAAGTTGAGGGCTTGACTTTACAAAACTTGGACCTCCACAACTTGTTCTTACGTTTCAATGAAACTCTGTCAATTTTGTGGCGCTTGGATGAGGCGAGGACTGCTAGGTAAAACACTTTTGGTCGAATGAGGAAATTTGGTTTGATTCTTTTACATTGCAACAGGTTCCAGGTCAATTCAATTGATCCAACGTGTTTCTCTTTAGATACACCAAATCTTTTGCAGAAAATATGATTCAAAAACTTTAAAATTCTTTGTAAATTGAAGTTCTGTTTTGTCAAAAATTTTACATTATATAAAATACAATTTATATTTAATGCCCTTAATTTAAAATTGAAAGATATTGAACACTTACAATACAAATTAAAGTTTGTCGCATTTTGTCGCCCAGAGTTAATTTATTGTTCAACAGTGGCGTTTCTTCAGTTGAATCCATCTTGACTGTGAAGCTTTCATCATAAAAATGAAAGTTATGTATATAATTTGTTTGCGGCTGGTAAGATTCCCACTAAGAATTTTTAAAATTGTCCAATGTTTTGAAATTTGAAATAAATTATAATAAAGATTTATTTTCAAATTTCAATAAACTGAACAACTTCAAAAAAGTTGTGCTGGATATGTCAACGATATCAAATCAGTGCTTGCAAGTTAATTTGATTCATTATAGAAAGAGATATTCATTAAATGCTACTAACAGTTTTGGTAATTTTTCATTTTAATGTTTTGTTTAAAAGCGTTAAAGCTAAGCATAGCAGTGTCAAATAAAAGTTTCCCTTTAATTTTATGAAAATAAAGAAAATATTTTCAATTATAGATGGAAAGAATAAACATCACGTCACTATCAAAGACAACTATGAACATGAGATAATCTAAATAAATAGAACTTGATACGTTAACTATGGTTGGTACCACATGGTCAAAATAATGTAGTCTGTCACTTAACCTCAACAAATCAATTGAACTCATCATTCATGAGGGCTGTGAAAAATAATCAATCAATCGATCATTCAATAATCAATCAATCAATAGTTTATAAGTCGCTATTTCCGCTAAGTTCAACAATGCTCCTCAGTGAATTTTTCAATGGATCTTGAACTTTGTAATTGATGGAGAAGTAGTCAGTGAAGAAGGTAGAGAGTTCCAGAGAAAAGAGCCAGAAAGAGCAAATGCGAATTTAGCAAAAGATTGTTTAACAAGAGTTAAGAAGAAGAAGTGAGAACAAGAAGACGATCGTAAACCGGGACGTTTAGGTTCAATTAAAATATCTAATAAGTACTTAGGAAATAATTTAGATTGAGACTTATACTTTAATGTGCAAATTTTAAAAATTATTCTTTATTTTATTTTATAAGTAGCCTGTTTGTTATCTATGAATTAAGCATGAGTGATAAATAAATAAAGTTAATGGTCGTCGGTTTTAGCGATGTCTTCTTCTTTACTTTATTTCATTCAGTCATTAAATAAATTAACATTAAACAACTAATCATTACAATTGTGCTATTTCTCGAACATCATGCTTTTGTGCTTCTTGGGATTGCATTTGTCGTCCATTAATTTCTAGCGCAAGTATAGCTAATTAGTTTTTTAAATATAAAATAAATTATATTAAATTTTAATTAATAATAAATTAATAATTTATTAAATAAAAGAATTTAGAAATAAAACTGCAAATCGACACTTTTTTAATTTTCAATTTTATATTTTTTTTGTTAGCTTATGCCTTATACATATAATACATACAATTACAATCATACATCAAATTATTAATAATTATAATTTAATTATTAAATTAATTAAGGATAATAATAATCAATTGTTAGCTCATAAAAAACTGTAAAGATTAAACAGTGAAGAAGGAAAGATGGTTCTGAGCAAAGAACATAGGTTTTTAAAGGTAAAATGAGTGACAAACTATATATAATTAATTAATATTATAATGTATGACAGTGGATGTGTATTATTAAATTTATTAAATATGCATTATTTTTTTATTTTATAATATTAATTTTATGTTTTAGCAAAGTAAAGTTACATATGCTAGACTATTTGTTTTTTTTTTGCATTTTTACTTTTAGTGCCGATTAATTAAATAAGTTAAAATTAGTTTATTTTATGTATAATAAAAATAATCCAGTGTTATATTAAATTAATTACTATTGAAGTTTTGACTAAATAAAGTTTAACACTGGTTTACAATAAAATAAAATAAATAAATGTTATCTAAATGTTACTTCAAAATTCCAAAGTTGGTTTACCTGTTCTTTCTCGTGATAACCGATGTTATTGTCCTGGTGTCTATGTTGACCATGCATTGGCTGGAAGGAACAAAATTCAGAAGAGGTCTATGGTCTATATGCATTGAGAAGAGAAGAGGGGCTAAGGCTTGTTTCAACACTCATAATGAAAGTTTGTTAAGCATCTATATTCTATATTTTAATTTTTTTTTTAATATTTATTTTTAATTTTTTTATCAAAGCATGGACATTAGTTTGTGGTACTCTCTGCTGTTTCACTTTCATCTTCATATCGATCACAGTCTTCGTCTCAATTTACCACATTGCCACATTTAAGAACAAAATAAAGAGGAAGGCCTCCATGATCAGCATATTGGTTCTCATCTTGTCAGCCAGTTTGTGTTGCTAATGCTTTAAATCATCCAATAAGCTATTATTATCCAATGTTAAAATAGCATTCAATCAATCAATTGATTGATTGATTGAATGTTATTTTAACATTGGATAATAATAGCTTATTGAATGATTGAACTTTAGATACGAAATTTCACGCTTTCAATTAACATATTTCAATCATAACTTTGATTCCTGTGTTTTAATGATAATTTAATTTATTCAAATAATTTCCAGTTTTCACCTTGTTATCTTGCCTAGTTGCCTTCCCTGTGTTATTCATCCAACATCAGATGGAAAACTACAACGTCAGGTTTCAAGTACTCAAGTTCAACATTTCCTGGTCTTATGGGCTGGGTTGGGCTGCATTCATATTTCTGATTGGAACATTTGTTTTGATCTTGCTGGACCCCACAACTTATTTCAGTGACATTCGAACGACCAGAAAGATGTCGCTATCGTCTATAAATGCAGATGATATTGTTTCTATATCGGACAGCAGACAAAATAAAGCACTGCAAAGTTGTTAGAGTTTGCTATCGAATAGCATTGATTTTCAGTTGAATAATTTCTGCTGATTTTGTTTCATTACACTCATTAAGAGTACTAATTTTAATAATCAAATGCATGGTTATTATGCTTGTTTATGTAGTTATCAGTGGATGGCTAGATTGATAGGGACTTTTAATTATCATGTAGTCATTTTGTTACTGGTTGTGGTTTTTGTTCTTAGTTTTTATATTCATATTTATGAACTACTATGGTTCATTTCTTGCATCGTGTTCAATTATTTTTTCTGCACAGTTTTATGTGCATTTTATTTGCCGTCTACATCGTGATGATCTCATTTTAATTTCATTTTTGAAAAAACTTTTTTCACAGCAAATGCTAAGTATTAAACAACTAGCAATTAAAATTAAATGTGATAATCTAATAGAGCAGATTTATTGATAATGTTCTATGTTATTTGTCTGCGTCTTTTAGTCATTGTTAAAAAAATAATTTCAAGAAAAAATGGCTGAAATCTCATTCAAAAATTTGAATGGTGAAATGTGAATATCAGATAGCCGGTTGTAGATTATCCTCTCCATCTTTGTTTAATTCTTTTTTATACCTATTCGTTCAATGTCTTTTATTTTTTCTATTACAATCATTATTGATAACTACGTACACACATATACACACAACACAAACGCTTAAGCTTTATTCGAGTGTTTATGTAAAATTAATAACAATAAAATTAATGAGACGCAAGCAATAATAAATGGATATATATAAATATATGTTTTGGTGTGTGTTTGTGTGATTATGACAAATATGTAATGAGCAATATTGGGCTATAGATATGCTTCTATATCATCACGCTTCAAGCCGTTCGCTTCATTGCTAAATGCTTCAAAATATTTTCTGCCAAATACTTGGGTATTTGACAGAAAATATTTTGACATCGTATCTCTTGAAAGTTAATATTTAAAAGGTTTTTATACAAATTATCAATATGATTGAAAATTCAACTACATCTATCATTGAATCTCAATGAACACTACCAACATGTATATGAAAAACTCAAATGTTTCATCACACATAAAGTTTTATAACCTTTTTTCGATAAAAATATGTGAACAAAATTTTTATTAACTCACTATAGAAGAATTGAAAAAGTGCAAAGTAAAACGGGACGTCACTAAGATTTTGCTCTTCTACCCCTTGTCACAGTGTCAAATATTTGACTTCTTCCCCCGATCAAAGCATTACATTCATATCACATAACTAAAATAAATATAACGGCCTTCGCTCACTTTTAACGGTCGAACAAGGAGCTTACTTCCGGAAGAGATTTAGAGGGTGATTTATTATCGTTCGAGTCAAGGGTCGGGCTATTTGACATGCTTGGATTATTATTGGCTTACGAAATTGCATGGATTTTGACGAGCAAGCTATAAGAAATATTTACTTGACTTAATATGCTTAAAACATTGTAGTAATTCTCTTTAATTTTATTAAATAAAATTATGATTTTATTAAATAAAATTATGTATTATTAAATTATTGTTGTTAATTTGAATATAAAAATTATAGTTTTGGTCCTGTGAAATCCGGTATTATATTAATTTCTTTTTACTGAAGCCGAAGGTTGGCTTAGTAGGATTGAGCTATAGTCACCCTTTTTTTACACTATTCGATCATGTTAAAAATTTGTTTGCTCATGAAATAAACGGCCTAAATAGATCAAAATTCTTATTTGAACAACTATCTTCATTATATTCAATGAATATTTTACATTCTGCTGGTGCTCATAGAAATTATGGTTGCTGAAATCAAACGTTGGCTTACCGCAGTGGCTTACTGGGTCTCAAACAACAGTGTCATGGCGGTTTTCTTTACATATAATGCTTTAAATATGTCAAAATATTTATTTCACAATTATTTTTGTCAATATAAATAAAGAAATTGCTTTTGTCTGGTAAAGCCGTATGTTGGCTTAATCGGATTTTTTTCATATATACAATACTGTGAGATCAATCAATCAAACAAACAAACAATCAACCATTCATTCAATCATTCAATCAAATAATCAACCAACCAATCGACCAATCAATGAACCATATTTGAAAAACATTTCCAAGGCTTGTTCAAACTTGAACAAACACTTAACTGTACAGATATACAAACAATTTCGAGATTTTAGTAAAGAAAGAAAAACACAATAGTTGCTTTTATTAAATCAAGAAATACCCAAAATTTATATAACCAAATTAAAAAACTAGAAACCAGTCAACATTTAATAAATAATGAAATAAATAAATAGACATTATTAAAAAGATTGTTCAAAAAGGTACAATTTAAGGCGACGACGAGAATAAAATGTAGTTTGTTTTGTTGGTGTGGGGTTATGAAGCGAATACAAAAACATTACAGAAACTAGTAAAAAGTCGCAAGAATAGTAGTCAGTCACCTACCTACAATTAAATTACTCTCAGGGCCCTAGCTTACTAATAATCATCAACTCAACTCACCTACCTACAAATTTGTTTTTCTACGTTTTTGGAATTTTACATATTTTAGGTATTTTATTTTACATATTTCAGCGTTTTTATTTTACTTGAAACTTTTAACTAATGTTAAGCCTTAGCCTACCTACGATAGTTCAACTCATCTCAATCCCTAACTTACCTACGAATTAAATTAAGTCTGGTAAAGAAAATAGCAAGTTGAAGAAAAACATAACAACAACGACACCGAATGAATGGATGTTGTATATGTGTGTGTTGTGTTGATGTGTGTGTGTAAATGTGCGGGCGTGTACTCTCCAAAAACTTCTTCACTCACTACGGACGAACCTCCATTGCACCAACCATCATCTGACACGCATCGATGGGATGAATTTGACCGGATACTGAAAAACACTAAATTGAAAAAAAAAATTTTTTAATATAAAAAACAAGCCATTGGAAAAAAGCCACTTATCTTACTGAGTTGACAAATTCGAGTACGATAGGACAAGAACAAATATTTTTTAATAATATCTTCAAATTGTCATCGCAACGATCATCGTGAGACCACCATCTGAAACATGCTGACGCCCACCACAGCCCACCTCTCATCATTCTGTAGACAAGTTTTTTTTAATTAGCGTGTTGGTAAATAATCAAGGAACAAAAGAAGGAACGAATAAATGATTAACTGAATGATTGAATGATTGGTTGAATGAATGAATAATTAATTAATCAATCAATGATTTAACGAATGAATAGAATGAATTAAATAATGGAGGAATAATTTGAAAGATAGTGATAAAATGAATGAGAAAAATAAAAAAAAACTAAACCATACTTCAAAAATCTTCGTTGTTTTCTTCAAATTGTCATCGGAACGATCATCATGAGACCATCATCTGAAACGTGCTGACGCCCACCACAGCCAACCTCTCATCATTCTGTAAAAAAGTTATTTTTATTAGCTTAGTAGTAAATCAAGGAACAAAGGAACGAACGAATAAATGATGAACTGAATGATTAAATAATTAGTTAAAAGAATGAATGTATGAATAGAATGAATTAACGTCAATTAATGGAAGAATAATTTGAAAGAATGAGAGAAAAAATGAGTGAATGAGAAAAATAAAAAAAACGAAACTAAACCTTACTTCAAAAATCGTCGTTACTTTAATCCATTGCACCGACCACCACATTCAGATCGGCACACAAGATTTCATCCGAACTTCTGAGTGTCAGTCGAACAGCCAACGCGCTGATTCTTCCCACACCACCATCATCATACGTAAATCATCATGAGACCACTATCTGAAACGTGTTGACTCCCACCACTGCCCACCTCTCATCATTCTGTAGACAATTTTTTTATTAGCGTAGTAGTAAATGAATGTTAGAATCTTAGAAGCAAAAAATTATAAAATGGAAATAAAGGCAAATAAATAATAACTGAAAATAATAAAGAGATTAAAATGTAAAAAAACTTACCGTCGTCCATTCGAAAAAAGCAGAATGTTGAATGCTTTCCGGTTCCCACGTTGTCCTCCAAAACTGGTGCCAGTCCTCCTCGAGATTGTTGCTGAAACACAGCCCGAGGGATGGAGGAAGATTGAGAAAATTCTCATCAGAAAGCTTAGCAGTGCTTGCATCTCAAATTGCATAATAAAAATAATCCTATCTACCTATTTAATTACCTTAACTAATCTATATTAAATTGTTAATGGTACGATAGTCGAAAGTCCCCCTTCATTCTCCCTCCTTGCACAGAGGTTCACCGACAGCCAGGGCACCGGATAGTAAACCATTGCCGTGCGGATAGTAGACTATTGCTGTGCGGATAGTAAACCATTTGCCGTCCGGAAGCCGTGCGGGTAGTAGACTATGGCCATGCCGCATAGTAAATCATTACCGTGCAGATAGTAAACCATTGCCGTCCGGATAGTAAACCATTGCCGGTTCACCACTGGCCACCAAGGATTACCTCTGACAAGAGACTTCGAAATTCAGAGTCTATCGGCTATCGTACCCTCAACTTACCTATTCATTACAATTAAGTCCTAGCTTACCTAAAATTACAAAACTCAAGAGCCCAATTCATTGGCCAATCGGCACCCACCCCACCACCTACGTAATGCCTTGGGCTCCAACTTAATAATAATAACATAAAACTTAAACCCCAAATCTAATAACGAGTATGTGTTACAACGTAGCCTTAACTTACCTATTCATTACATTATGGTCCTAGCTTACCTAAAATTACAAAACTCAAGAGCCCAATTCATTGGCCTTTCGGCACCCACCCCACCACCTACGTAATGCCTTGGGCTCCAACATAATAATAATAATGTAAAAATTAATA